TCAAACCAAACAATCTCAACCAAACAAACCTAAATCCTAAATTCCGCAAACCCTAAACTAAATCCCACCTCAACCCTAGCACCCACAACCATAAGCAACAGTTTGGTGGTCCATACTTAGGTGTAGAGCTTTGGAAACTCGGGATTTAAAGGCTTCAGGTCGAAGCGTTCGCACCACAGGCGCTTCGAAGCAGCTCTCAAGCCGAAACTTCCAAAATTGTCGCAGCCCGCGCTCAGTCTGCAAGTGCATGTGGAATGACCGAGTCTGGTTTCTGTCCCTGCAGCAGCTGCACTTTTCTGAACCTCAGCGTCCACAACAAGTGGCAGAAGGAGAACAGAGTAGTGAAGTACAACATGCAAAGGCGTATCACTACACTCCGCATGTAGCACCTACAGTGTCATGAGGATTCTATTATCCAGCTGTTCCTGTAGCCAGCTCACAGTCGAGTTCTGAAATATCCCCAGGCATGGAGTGTACATATACGATCCCAAACCCTCTACCGGTAACGAGAACCCTGCATAAGGTTTGTATGGGCCGAGAGCTCCACAACTTCCGTCCCACCCCTAGGCCCTGCAACTAAGCTGCGCCAACTTGTCCTCTGCGTGCTCTGTCCGGAACGACGTGACCGTATCGGAGCTCTGTTTCCTTGCGCGAGATTTTTAAGCTTAGGGACTCCTGCTTCGAACTTGCCTATGCTAACCTGCTTACCGATTTGAGTGTACTGAGTTCTGGAGTACCCCAAAACACGAAGCATTGACTGCTGCTACTCCGCACTCTTTCCGGAAAGAAGCGAAGGCTTTACTGCTCTCCAGGCCCACATGAAAGGCTCTGTTCTCCACATTATGATCTTGACCATCCTACCCCCGTTCATGCCGGATGGCTGCCTGTTGCCATGATACACCTGTAGCGCCGAGGCACTTCTGAAAACGATGTGTGCTGGTACCATTGTAATTAAGACACGGAGTCGCGCGATGTTGAACCAAAGGGCCACCAGTTCAGAACAGACGCCAAACACGTCTGGTTGAGTCGGCTTCATAAAGTCTGGGGCTGGCATGTCTTGGGGGCTATCTCTTTCTGAACACCTTCCCGGAACGGCATCCCAAATCTTGAACTACCCACAACCCTAAATTCGAAACTACACCCTAGATTAAGGGTCAAGACCTGGAATCCCCGAGAAAACGGAACCGTGAAGCCCCGAAACCTGACAGTAAGATCTCCCTGCAAAAGCAAGATGTTCTGGGCATAGGGGTTGGGGTTCAGGGTTTAAGGTTTGGGATTTGGGGTTCATGTTGACTGAATTTCAAACGATGATCTAAGAGTCTGGCAACACCAAACCTTCGAATGCACACATGAACGGCAGAAGTGATCGGTGTTCGTATTGTAGAATACCGAAGATCTTCTCTACGAGTATCCCATCAAACCTACCGGCACCTTGAAACCTTTGAAGTCCCTTTTGCCGGAGTTCCGTGAATAAGCGCTAAACCTAAACCCTAAACCCCTAAACCCCTAAACCCCTAAACCCTAAACCCGTCCGATTTCAAAATCAATCGCAAAGCTATGGGTCGTCAAGTGGATGACGGGTGCACGGCTGAGTGCTTCGACGCGGCAAAGTAGATGACAGAACCTTGCTCTCGGAATCTTGCCCATTACAGCCCTGAACCCCAAACCTAAACCCTAAACACTAAACCCTAAACCCGGAACCCTAAACCCTAACCCTAAACCCGAAACCGAAACCCAGAATCTATAAGTCTTGCACCCTCATGGATAGGGCGTGTGGGTTTCTGCTTTGGCGCTGGAAGGTCTGAACAACAAGTAGTGTAGAAGTATATCATATATGCCTTCATAGTCCGTATACTGCCGACATACGACAGCTTCACCTAGTAGCTTCACCTCTACATGGTGGGGTAGCTCAGACTGGCAGCCTGAAGGTCTGTGAAGAACAGGATTTCTGCTTGGAAAGAAGCTTTGCTATGTCAGCCTATGTTTGGAGTTTAGAGGTCGCCCTTCCGGGTTGCAAAACAATGATGCGTTACATGTTTCATTCGTTTAAACAAGATGCCCGAATACGCTCGCATTGATGTTCCGGAGGGGGCCGATACGCCCTCCAGAAGCACGATAAGAGCCCCTACGATATCTAGAGCACAAGGCATCATGGCAAAGGCCTCCGTCTGACAGGGCTCTGCGAAACCCAGACCTCCAAAACCCCAAAAAAGCCGCCATACCCCTGAACCCCAAAACTGCGACACCGAGGGCCACGAAGCCCCAAATTCCTAAAGCCCCACAACGAAGGCCTGCACTCTAGGAGGCCTTGAACCTAAAAGCACAAAGCCACACAAATCCAAACCCCCACCCTAACATGGGGGCCTTCATAAGTAGCAGAGGGTCTTGGGATACAGGGATCGTCAGGAAAACCCCAGTAGTAGTGACTTTTCTGATGCATACAGCAGACCCGACAGCTTTCAGCGAGGGAACCCCGGCTTCAGATCTTCTCCGAACTTGTCGAGAAGGCGCTGAGCCTTAGAGGGCGGGCCCGGAGGGTGCTTCGTTTATCCATGGCTTTTGGCGCCTTAAGGAGGCGTTTTCAGTGTAAATTATGGGCTTTAGGGCTGTAGGGTTTCGGTGCTTACCTTTTTTCGTACCCCTTTTCCTGCTCAATAGCTAGGGCAGCTAGGGTTTGGGGGGCAGGGGGGGTTGGAGTGAAAAGTGTGCACCCGTAATTCTCTTTGTCCCTGATGTCGGCACACCCTACCTAGTGTTGAGAAATCGACCATACCCATATGGCCCAGAACACCCAGGAGCTCTTCACCGGGTTGTGAGCAGATCCCGAAACTGCTGGCACCCCGAGGCTTTTTCTTTGTTCAAGGACCAATCCGAAACCATTACAGGGCCAGGCTGTGACCAGCGCCTCCGCAACAATCCCATATCAATAATCCCAGCGGTCATGGTAACCCTGCCTATAGCCGCTACACCAGTACCACAACTGACTATGAACACCATTATGTCAAGTGTAGTGCTTGGTAGTAATGAAGTTAGCGGCAGTGCTCATGATAAGATTGCTGATAGTGGTGCTGAAACTATAGACAGCCGCCGCGCTCACAAACAAGATCACCACCCAAGTGCAACAGTCCTGCTCACAAGTTTTCCCTGATGACAGCCGGATACCACTTCTTCCCGAGCCCGAAACTCAAACTTCAGCCTCCAAGCCCTGCAGGCCGACAGCCTGAAAGCCGCAAAGCCGGAAGCTAAGCCACCAAGCCTCCCTAAAACCTAAACCCTAAACCCTAGGGTTAGAATTCCTATAAACCCTAATCGCTTTGATTCCTATAAACCCTATAAACCCCTTAAAACCTAAACCCTAAACCCCAAACCCTAAACCCAAGGCCTATAAACCCTGAACCCTATAAACCCTAAACCTTCCGGAGCTCCGCTGGCCTCCAGAAGTGGGGGCTTCTCTGCAGAGTCGGAGGAGTCCCTGCTCGGCTGATTGAACAGAGCGCCCTCTATAACAGTCTTAATGGGTTTAGGGTTTAGGGGTTTAGGGTTTAGGGTTTAGGGGTTTAGGGTTTAGCGATTTAGGGTTTAGGGGTTTAGGGGTTTAGGCTGGTTGAACAGAGCGCCCCTCAAAACAGTTTTTGCAAATGGGGCTCTGAGGTCGGTTGTTTGAACACGCAAGCATGTGTGTGTTTATGTATGTATGTATGTATGTATGTATGTATGTATGTACATATATATATATACACATACATACACACCTATATTCTATATATATATATGTGTGTGTGTGTATAATATATATATATATATCAGAAAGAGAAAGAAAAGGAGAAGGAGAACAAGAAAACGAGAGAGAGAGAGAGAGGGAGTCTTGCATGTACGGCCCGTACTGCGGGATTTTGATCTTAAATACTCTTTGTTCAGACCTCGATATCGCGACTTTTGAGTCGTGGGACTTAGCTTCAAGCTCAATGCTACAAGCAGGGGTTTGGTGGTTTAGGAGAAATCTCGGTTTAGGGTTTAGAGTTACGGGGCTCCTCTTTCCTGGGTTGTTCCTGCTGATTAGGGATCTTTGCATGGGGTCACATGCTCGTTCACTGTCCTACTTGAAGCACTACTACCTCTCTAGATACTCCACAGCTAACTTCTCGAATCTCTGACACGCAGCCCCGGTCAGTCCCAAATTAGCCAATCCCGGCATGGAACTGTAGTTTGAAACCCAGACGTCTCGACTCTAGACCCTCGACTGATTTTTGAGCTTCCTGCGGGGAAAGACTTGCACTGCCAGGTCTTGAAAGAGTTTGTACTGCGCAAGGCGGTCATGCACGATACCTGACCAGAAGTGTTGGCATAAACGGGGCCCCGGTGGTAGATCCCAATACACGCCTCATCAGGATACTCTACAGAGGCCAACCCGGATGCGACCAACACAGTCAAGTTGATCGATCGCCCAGATAACCAGGATGACAAACACATGTGGCCCGAGCCTTAAGCCAGCTTAACGATCACGGAGGTAATTACGATGGCCTCCTCTCCCTCTCCTCCTCAAAGGCATCCAAAGCCTTGCGCTTGGGGCCTAACTGAAGCCGTTGGTTGTTCCTGTGAGCACTCAAAGGCTTGCCAATCTTGTTACATTGTTGATAATCTTGTTCTTGGTGCTGGTTCTCATGCATGCCTTTTAGCTAGGGTTTCTTGAGGCTACTGGTGGCTTTTGGTGCATAGCCTTCATGATCGTAGGAATAGCTGCGGGCGAAGATTCCACTGCAAGTTTCAATCTCTCACGACCAATCCTGTAGGTGCCCACATCTGTTGGCTTGCCAACTTTTGGTTCAGGTTTCGGTGCCGGAGCACTGAACTTAAACTCTCGGAGCCACAGAATTCCAGAGCTATCACCAAGTTTGTAGCAAAATCATGACGAGCACAAATTGAGCAAAGTTTAGCCTTGGCATTGAACCCTTGAGCCATCCAGTGGTCTGAGGAGTTTCCGGAGTGGGGCTTAAAAACAGCTAGATCGCAAATTGATGGTCTTGTTTCGACGCGGCGGCACGCCCTAAAGCCTGAACCCATGAATAACAACGCCGATGTCTTGTGCAACAGCAATGCAAAAAGAGCAAGTAGCCTGTGGTCTTGCTCAGTGGATCCTGTGCCAAAATCTGGCAACCATATTCATCCCCAACCACTTCGACCAAGCCCTGACCCTGCTGGGCCTCGCCAAGGAAGTGGCAGAGGGAATGGCGTGACGGTAAGCCGTACTTTCGATGTAAGTGCCAACTTCGGGGTATGCCTCAGGAGGGTTTACGGCTTGGAGTCCAGCGGTTTAGAAGTTGGGTCCATGACTTGGGACTGTTCTAGTGCAGAGCAACCGTCAATGAAATCCTCCCCCCAAAGTTACTGCGCAAGGGAATTCCGTTCAGGGATGTTATGAAGGGCAGCAAAGCGTTGAGGCTTTGCAGAATGCGCAGCCTCAGCCCCAGCCCCAGCCCCAACCCCAACCAGCCCCAGCCCCAGCCCCAGCGCCCCAGCCCCAGCCCCAGCCCAACAGCGCCAGCCCCAGCCCCAGCCCCAGCCCCAGCCCCAGGCCCAGGCCCAGGTCCAGGCGCAGCCCCAGCCCCAACCCCAACCCCAACTCCAACCCCAACCCCAACCCCAACCCCAACACCAACACCAACCCCAACCCCAACCCCAACCCCAACACCCACACCAACCCAACCACCCAACCCACCCAACCCCACCCCACCCAACCCTGCATGCATACATATACACATGCTTAGACATTTATGTGGATGTAGATATAGATGTAGATACAAGTATAGATATAATGTAGATATAGACTGACATAGATATAGGTATAGATGTAGATATAGATATTATAGGTTTAGATATGCGAACATGCACAAGGACCTCAAGCAGGATAGCTGATATCTCCACTTGTTGCGGTTCTGCAGTCCTGCTTTCGCCAAGCTGCTGCAGAAGTCTGAGAAGACATTCCGTGTGCACTGAAGATCATCGCACTCCTTTGCCGTTGCTTCCATTCAACACTTCATGTTTTACGGAAGTGTAAGCCCTAAACCAAATGAAACCCAAAGAGAACTGTAGGAATCTTGAAGCAACGCAAGCAGGCAATCCTCGGCGCAACACCACCGTGAATTCCCGGTCCGGCAGGCAACGCAAAATCTCACCCCACCCTGAAGCCGAAAGCTAAACCTCGCAGCTCAGATGTAAGGATTATACAGCGAATTTGTGGGCATGACGAGTGCGAAGCAAGTCCCAATCAACCCCAGCTTAGCGGGACCCGTCACTCTTGCATTCAGGATTCACTTTTCACATCGACGAAGGCATCGACGATGATCGCCTCGGCAGCTACGCGACCACAAGGCCCCAATATAGAAGTTTGCGTGGCTTTTCAGGTGGTTCAGGGGTGGGTGACAGCATGTTTCTATAACCTGTATGTTGATGGAAAACAAACGCCTTTATGAACATCTTTGCAGTCAAGGACAGTAGGAAGATTACCAAGATTTAGGAACATAGACAAGAAATGCCACCCGATCGCTCCTTTGAAGGATCTATGCCCCTGGTACGGAACTGCTTCCACCAAGCTCTCGATGCTGCGCCTTGCAGGTTTAGGTTTCAGAGGTTCAGGTTCCAGGGAAGGCGTCAGCCTCAGGGCCGAGGGTTGAGGTTTAGTTAAAGGAAACTAAGTGGGGAGTTTAGGGCAATTAGGGCTTCTATCAGGCTTCTATAAGGTATATTGACCTTCTATAAGGCTCCTATAACGGTAACTACCAACCCGAAAATGTCCTAGATTAAATCAGGGCATGCACCCACATTGTCTCAGTCCATGTCGTGCAGATATTCTGTGCGCTTTCACGTCTGCAATAGAACCGCTACTCAGACCTAGTATTGCACATGCAAGGGCCTTGCTCTACGTCTCCAAGTCCTGATGTTGCCCTCAACAACCAAACACTAAACCCTAAACTAAACCCTAAACCCTAAACCCTAAACTAACTAAACCCTAAGCCTTCTAAAGATGTTGGGCCCGAGGTTGCTGCCTGACCAGCTCCGCTGCTTGGCGTTGTTACGGCTCTGGGCCGAGGTCTTAGCCCCAGAGGCCCTAAACCCTAAACCCTAAAGCCCTAAAGAGCGCGAAGCTTTAAGAAGCCCTGGTAGAAGCGCACCGGACGATTTTTTGGGCTGCGGCCTGGCATTGCATGTTGCGTGAAGCGATGGTCAGCGCACGCCCTAGGCGTTGAAAGGTCCCGAACAAATCGATAGTGACTGCACACCTTCAAAAGTTGAAAGGGGGCTTCATGCTGTCCATTGCCCTTTTTTAGATTCACTTGCTAGCAGCCAGGGCAATCAGTTGACAGGAGCTGAGGAGCGACAGGAACCAGGCAAGCGTGCGCCCGTTGGAAGGCCCGGGTGTGTTGAAGCCCATGTACAAGACATTGAAGGCGGCCCGGCATAGGAGGTGAAAGCTTGCAAGCTTACCCACCGTGGCCTTGTCCACGCCCATCATTGTGGCGCCCAGGATTCCAGCCGCGAAGACTGGGAAAGACTCCAAGCCATTCCTTGGCTAGCATATTTTCTGCTTCCATTTCTGCAAGCAGCCCCATAGACCTCAAACCCTAAGCCCTAAACTTTAAAGCCTAAACCGCAGCAGCCTGGATTCTGATGCGCGGCTTCAGCTCTCACGATCGCTTCACCGTAGACTGGGTGCTTCGTCATCCTCGGTTTCTCAACTGGCTTCTGAGGTTCTAGTTGGCTTTAGAAGGGTCTTGCGGGGCCCCATACAGCAATTTGGGGTGGTGTTTCTACTGTAAAACAAGCGTAGACCACGAAATTGCCGTTATAAGCCATAGCGACGTCCGGTTGCAAAACGTAGTTACCTTGAATTAGGTGTATCGTTGAGCTGCCTCGAAACGAAGGAACGCCAACGCAAGGTGCAAGCGAGAGCACAAGGGCCTAGGGCTTACAGGCTGAAATGGTTTTGGGACAGTTTGCGCTCTAGGTATATAGCCCTAAACCCTACACCCTA